TTTATAGTAGAAATAAATAATATTCCTTCATGTTTACTGATAAAGATACCTAATTTAAAAAAAAAAAACTCACGGGAAGACTCATTCAACATAACTTGGATATTTCTTTTCATTGATGCTTATTTTATAGTAGAAATAAATAATATTCCTTCATGTTTACTGATAAAGATACCTAATTTAAAAAAAAAAAAACTCACGGGAAGACTCATTCAACATAACTTGGATATTTCTTTTCATTGATGGCTTTCCTAATACCTAAAAAAATGTATTTGACATAGTCAGTATTATGTAATATATCATTACATTTTTATTTTGACAGTAACTAGAAAATAAGAAAGTCAAATTATTTCATATTTGCATTACATCAATTCTCTATGAAATAATTATATTTTAATCTCCAAAGTTTTTTTAATAAGAACTAATCTAAATCACTCAAACTTAATTAGTGTTAAAGTTGTCTTTTTTGTTTGTTTGTTTAAGTGAGTACAAAAGCTATTCATTTTATCATCCTAGTACAATTACCATGAGAAATATTTGACTTGTGTCAAATATTTGTAAGCCAAATGGTCTGCTAAACACAGTGGAATAAAAGAAAGTATATATTATTTTTACACTCAAACATTATGCTCAGTCAAATTCTTCTCTTTTCCTTAGTCTTATGTTCCTAAAGCATGAAACATGAAAGTATAATTTTAAATTGTTTAAAATATTAAAATATAAAGAACTCAATGAAAATTGTGTAAGCGATGATTCTTTGATCATCCATCTATTTTTGTATGTCTTATATATGTAACATATACTCAGAAATGTATATGGGTGATTACAGAAAGGCACTAAATTAAATGAAAATGATAAAAATATAGAGTTGTCGGGGCTGGCCTGGTGGCGCACTGCTACAGTGCGCCGCTTGGGAGTGTGGCGGCGCTCCCGCCGAGGGTTCGGATCCCACATACAGACCGGTTCCCGCTCACTGGCTGAGCGAGGTGCGGGTGCAACACTGAGGGTTGCCATCCTGTTGCCGGTCCCGGTCCGGTACGGGCGCAACACTGAGGGTTGTGATCCATTGCCGGACACGAAAAAAGACAAAAAGGAAAAAAAATATATATATATATAGAGAGAGAGTTGTCAAATGCAATATTTATGGGTATAAGGTTTACCTGAATACAGGTGTTAGATAATTATTTTTAGGCATATGACTAATGTCTATCCAACTACTTTAATTTCATTGCCACATATCTGTATTTGCAAAATAGCAGGGAACTTCAAGGTGTTTGAGGAACATTACCAGTAACTTAAATAGTTAATTTGATAACAGTTTAATTACCATTTTTACAACATTTTATTCTCTTTGAAAATCAATTAATTAAATTTGCCTGCCTCTAGTGTTTAAACTGTGCCTTTGCTGTTTCCAGTTCTGCTTTCTTTATGTAAATTTTATTCTGAAAAGTAGTCATATCAAACATTTTCCCACACCTGCAAATATCTTAATGTGCAGCCATATGAAAAGTACAACAAGAGCATATTTCCAAATGAACTGAGAGCATATTTGTGTTCTGAGTCGTGTGACTTTGGGAACCATGTATTGAATTCTTGAAACGGAACAGCCAGTTTTCTGCATTCCAAACGAGGACTTAAATATTCTCATTCTTTCCCGTGCCCTACTGAAAAATAGTAAAGAGAAAAGATAGCAAGATAGAAGAAAGGAGGAAGGGAAGAGATGTAAGGAAAAAGGAAGAAAGTTAGAAATCACAGAAAAGGGAAGGGAAATTATACATATTAATTTGAATAATGTGCCAACAATACAGCATAGTAAGAAGAATAGAATAAATGTATCAGGCAAGAAAATGCAATCTTAGATTAACTCCTCAAATTGTAACCTTTTCCACTTTATGTGTAGATGTTCTCATTATACACTAATTTGATTTTTTTATTGGGTTTGAGGAAACAGTGGTGAAGGACAGATTTGGGTACCCAGGGCATTTGCCAAAATTTTCCACTTTAGCTGTGTAGAGGTGATAATCTTGCCTAGCAACAGATGTGCTCTAACTTTAACATTTACACAAATGTAAATGTTATAAATTATGCTTAACTCATAGCTTCCACTAGTGTAGCTGTAAACAATTTTGTATATTAGCATACAAATTATGTACATTTACATGGAATACAGTTTTCTCTGAGATAAAGTATTTACAATATAATTACAAAGAGATAAAACTAATATTTTGTAATATCTACCTGGAAATACATTTGTATGAGATTATGCCAAATATTGAATAGAACAAGCACAAAAAGTAATTTTGGTTTGCATCCAAATTTTAATTGATGCCAGAAATATCACATATTGTGGTTCCCAAAAATTCTATGGAGAGAACTTGCAGGGTTCCTTGATTCAATCATATACCACCGATAAACCCAGTCTAATTATTTACTAAGCGAAAAACCTGAAAAAACAAAAATCATATATTCCACAGCACACAACTTGTGTTCTATTGTATGTGTTAATGTATTGGCAGGAAACCACGTATAAGGAGAAAAATCATTCATTTTTCATTCTATAAAGTTTCATGATTGTGACATGGTTAAGTCTTTTCAAGTTATTAGAGCCAGGATGAGTTTACTTTTACCCTTTCAATACAGTTGGGAAATATTTAAAAGTTAGAGGTAACCTCTTTTAATAAATCTTATAATTGTTACTTTTGATATTAAAAATATGTTGGATATCTCAGAAAGAGTAAAGATAACAATAAACCACCTAAAGAGAGTATATGTGACAAAATTATATTAAACAGTGCTGGTTAGAAAATAATAAAATTGTATAAGTCTTTGAAAAATACATCAATGAACTTTCTTTGGAGTGATTTATATTGTTCAGATATATGTCTTTAATTTCAAGTAATTCTTATCATTGTTTTATGCATCAATTAAGAAATAAAACTCAGTTACATGGAGGATTCCACTTTGCATTAATATTTTATAATTTATAAAACACTGTCATATCTATATATAATGTCGAGTGATATCGACATTTAAAAAAGGTAACTCTCATTGTGAAGAAAAATTAGTAACAACCCCAATTGTGAAGTCAAATGCTAGTATATATGTATATACTTTTTTCTTTTCTAATTCTGGATCTAATATAGAGGAGGTAGATGGAGAGCAAGAGATACATTTTTTTTTTTCAGGATACTATCATAGCATTATTAAGCTTATTCCTTTCCCCTCTGAAAAAAAATGTAAGGGAAAATATTGCAAAGACTATGGATAGTTTACTGCACTACGTCAATGTAGTATTACTTTTCTATTTTTTCTTTTTTTAAAAAAATTCATCAGGGAAACTGTTACCACCTGTTCAATCTAAAGTCAAGCAGTTGCTGTCAATTTACTCATGGGTGAATGCTGCCTCTTTGTGGCAGAATGCCATGGAAATTGTCCCTCAAACATAAAGTTCATGAACAGCCCTTGATATTGTACATATTCCACAGGAGATTATGGAGTAGACCCACCAATAGCAATTAACCACATGGCTTTTTAAGCTTCAGATCAATTCAAACGTTTCCTACCCTTAAATACTGATCTAAGTTCACTGGCAAACCTTACTCAGACGTGATTAGTTATACCCACCAACATTTTGAACATTTAGCACACATATCAACTTCAGACAAAGTATCCATCATAATTGTTGAAGGTAGTTTTACACAAGTTAAAATATGGAAACTATGGAAAATTGTAAATAATAAATAACGCTGATATGACAAAAATATAATATTGAGAGAAAAATGAATAAGCCATGTATTACTTACCATTGTCCATGTACTAGATGAATACTTCGGTAAGGAAACAATGTATACAATTAAAATATTATTTATAAACACATTAAGGTGACATTCGGAAACATAGTTCTCTGAACCAACAAAGGCATACATTACAAAAAGATGTAAATTTTTAAATTTTGATAATTAGGGGAAAAAACTTTTCTATTAGGAATAAAGTTTAGCTACTATTTCCTAAATTCTTATTAATGGAAATTTGATAAGTCACACATAGCTGTCCTTTGCACCTCAAGTAATCATTACTTCAGTCCCTCATATTTGACATAGTTATCAAGTGTTTATTCAGAAACTATTTAAAAAATTACATGTGCTGGGATACATATGAGACTGTAACAATAGTAGCCCCATCTTACAGAGATCCTGTTTGTCATTATCATCATTACTTGCTGACCAGAGGGAAAAATACATTATAATAGAGACTTGTACAGTCCATTATTTAGTCTTCTGAGGTGCCAGTACAAGTGGATCTGTACAAATGCAACTGGGTTTGGTTAAACAATCGAAAAAGGCTACAATAGTAGTCAAATCAATACATCATTTTGGTTCACTAATAAAAATACTTTTAAATCTTCTCTAATAAAACCAAAAACTTGCACACAATTCTTGCTCGAATGGCCCAATTAATTGCCCTATATTTTTCTTTTATACATTGGGATACAATCAGCTTTTTTTTTTTTAATTACAGATCCAATTGGGTGGGTTGCATTGGCTTTTAAAGATTTTGCCCTTAAGTTCTCCACATTCTTAATTATTTAAAATGACTTCCTGATATCACTTGTTTTGGAAATGCAGCTCCAAATACGGTGAGACACCTCTGCGAAAATCATAGGCTAAATAGTGAAGGAAAGAGGAATGCTAGACGTGTATATAAAAATAGGTGCTACAATAAAATATTTGTATATTTCATCAATAAGTTATTTTGACTAATCAATTATGGATCATATAGCTCTGTAATTTTAATGATTTGTCCACGTCTATGGTGATCCTTGTCAAGATCACAATACTTTTTTTTTTTTTTAATTCAAATGTCCAGAATGCATACAAACACATCCTTTAAAAACAAAGAAAAGGAATGAGAAGGGAGGAAGGGAGAGAGGCAAAGAAGGGGGTAGGGGAGGACAAACTTCCTATTAAAGTTGGGTGTGCTAATCTCTCCACAAAAGGAGAGAGGCAAAGAAGAAGGGGGTAGGGGAGGACAAACTTCCTATTAAAGTTGGGTGTGCTAATCTCTCCACAAAAGCCAAAAGCCATTTAGATCCACCCATGGCTTAAAGGGGGACAATGGGGGCGGGGGGCGGGGGACCGGATACAAAAGAGGAAAGAGTGAAATCTACGCGCTGCGATCTTCCGCCATTCTTAGCACTTCCAATCACTACAGAAACGACTGCGACCTTTAACAAGTCATCCTCACTGCAAATTGCCCTCCATAAAGCCCTTCCCCTCTCCTCCCCCACACGCGAGAAGAGAAAGTGATGTGCCCAGTTTACATAAATGTTTCCCACGTGTAAAACTAAAAGGAAATTGCACACCCTTCCAGTATTTTCTGCCGAAGCTGAGAATCCCGTGCCAAGGCACTTCACCCTAAACGTTGAAACAACACAATCAGATGCGTTCACTGTGTGTGTCTGCTCGCTTGTTTGTTTTAAATGCAAAAGCTCCAAGGGAGTTTCTTTGCTTTTAGAACTGGCTAAATGTGGTCTGTTTTTCCAGCACTTCGAGGTAGTCCGGCTCAACGTTTAGTTTTGCTTTTAACTCCAGATATTCGTTCCGGTTGGGTTCTACAAAGACAGCACTCGGGGGGCTGTAAAGCACCGGTTCCCGCAGCCTGCTGTCCCCTGCCCCCGGGTGCAAATACTGATGGGGGCGCCTCAGGTCATAGTTGGGGGAGAAAGTGTAAGCAGTGGGGCTGCACGGGAATTTGGGGTATTCCGGGAGGCTATTGCCGGCGGGGGTGGTGGAGCAATGTTTGTCTGGTTCTAAAATGCCCCTGTAAAAGCGGTCTGCGTCCTGCACCGGCGCCAGCAGGTCCTCCCGGGGCTCGATGGTGCTGACGCTGTAGGCGGGGCTCCGCAAGTGGTGGCTTTCCCGCCTCTCCTCGTCCCCGGGCTGCAGCTGCAGCTGCGGTGGGGGCTGCTGCTGGGGCTGTGGCTGCGGTGGCGGCGGCGGCTGCTGCTGCAGGTGGTGGTTGCTGCTGTAGGTGACCTTGAGCTCGTGCAGGTCTTTGTAATCCTCCACGGAGTTGCCCTCTCGGGAACGGTAGATGGGGTTTTTGCACATGTGGCCCAGTGGATGGGGGATATACTCGTAAACGTGGCCGGCGGGCGTCTTCACCTTGGGAAGCGCAGGCCCGCGGTGGTGCACGTGCGCGTGCGGGTGGCCGCCGCCTGGTGTGGTCGCTCTGGTTCTTCTTCCTGCGCTTCATGACCAGCACGAAGAGCCCAGCGGCCACGAAGACAGACATGATGAAAACCAGGAGCAGGCTGAGGATCAACACCGACAAGGGCACCGAGGACGCCCCTCCGCCCGCGCCCACCGCGGGGGCCCCGGTGCTGTTGAGCTGGACGGCGGGGGTCACCGCGCTGGTTCTAGCAGGCACCTGGATGGAGGAGGGTGTGGGCGTAGAAACCACCACATCCGAATAGTCTGGGCACAGCAGCTCCGATTTAAGAGAGCGCATGTCGGTCTCGGCGAATTTCTTGGGCGCCTTACAGATGACTTCGTCCACTAGGACGCCCGCTTTGAGCTGCTCGACCCACAGCTTCATGCCCACCACATCGCAAGTACAATCCCAAGGGTTGTCGTGCAGGTCAATTTGGATGAGGGACTTCAGCTGGTCCAAAACTCCACTCACCGGCAAGGAGGTGAAGTGGTTACTCCTCAGATTAAGCCTGAGGAGGGTCAGGCCAGAGAAGACGCCTGCGGGCATGGCCTGCAGGAGGTTGTTGTTCAGGAACAGCAGCTGGAGGTTTGGGACAGGGTCGAAAGTCCCAGACTGAATCTCGCGTATGAGATTGTACTGGAGGAAGAGATACTGCAGGCTCTGCAGGCCATAGAACAACTCCGGGCTCAGTCTCTCTATCCTGTTGCCATTTAGGTAGAGGCGCCTCAGGTTGGTGAGATCCCCGAAAGCGCGGTCCTGGATCATCGAGATACGATTGTTACCCAGATGCAGGAGGTCTAGCCCAGTGGCCTCCAGGAAGTCTGTCCTGCGCACGACAGCGATGTAGTTCTCGGTCAGATACATTTTCTTGGGATTGTAGGGCTTGGGCTGCAGCTCAGCCATGCTCTCGATCTTGCGCTCCTGGCAGTTTACATTGAGGCCCAGGTCGGAGATCTGCAGGTTGCAAGAGCACACGGTGGGACACTCCAAAGGCACCGGGGATTTGGTCTGGTAGGCGATGCTGGGGCCATAGTTGCTGTAGCCCAAGTCCTTGGAGGGCTGCCGAGAGGTGGGGCGCACCCTGGGCTTGTTGGGTTGGCGGGTCCCCTTAGGGGGCTTCAATGGGGGTTTGTAAACAGCAGAGGAAGAAGTGGCCACGGAATTAACTGAGGCCGGGGTGGTGTGTAAATACCCCGTGGTGCTCAAAGGTGTCTGCGGCCTCATCTCATAGTCAGAAATAAGCTTCCTTGGGCAAAGTTCCTGCTTGGATACCTCATCCAAGTCCCTGCCGTGCAAGCGGAAGGGGGTCTCACAAACCACATCCCCTACTAGGGCCGAATAGGAAATGCTGTCCAACCAATCCTTGAGAGAAATCAGCTCACAGGAGCAATTCCAGGGGTTTTCCTCCAGCTGTAACTCCACAACTTTATCCATGTGCTGCAACAGCCCCACGTAGGGCAGAAGTTTCAGCCGATTACCCCGTAGGTCCAAGTGCGTTAAGGGCACAAAACGGAAAAGATTGTTGGGTAAACTGGACAAGAGATTGTCATTGAGAATAAGCACCTGCAACAAATGCAGTTTCCCAAAAGCATTGGGTTCAATGACGCTGATGTAATTGTAATCAACCTGTAGGTACTCCAGGTTCTCCAAGCCAAGGAAGGTATCATCTCGCAGAAGTTCCAGTTTATTATTGTTCAAATGCAATCTCCTTAAGCCCCGAAGCCCGTGGAAAGCCCCAGTCTCAATGTCCTGGATAACATTGCTACCCAGATGCAAAATTGAAGCCCCAGTGTAATTGACAAACTCATTGGGGTAAAGACGGTTCAAAAGGTTTCCGGACAACAAAAGGTGGTAAATTGGGAAACGGGGAGGGCTAATTTCAGACAGACTGATGATCCCCCGGTTTTCACAGCTCACAGTTAAAATGCCGTCCTTTTCCTCACAAGGACATGCATTGTCACAGATTTCCCCATAATAATCGATGGTTTCTGCACACGAAAGGACGAGAGATGTTACAGCAAACGCTAGAGTCTGCAGCATCCAGCTATGCATTTTTCTGTGAAGGTCCTGTTCCAAAGTTACTGGGGGGCAGCAAGTGTGCATTTTACCTCCTGCAAGGGAGAGAGGAAACAAGGAAACAACAGAGTATCACAAAAAATTAAGGGATCAGTCAAAAAGTATCTCTCTTCCCTAATGCTATTTATAATCCAGAAGGAGGGAGATAATGAATGACAACCCCCTCCCCCAGTGGAACAGGGACATTCTCCAGACTATTAAAATCTGATATTCATTTTGATGTAAATGTTGATTTCATTTTCTAATGGGCACAGCAGGAATATGCTGCTCTTTACAAGATAAGGGCAGGTTAGATAAAGTCCCATTTTAGAGTTCTCTGCCCGCCCGCCTTTCGAAACCAATGCATAAATATACATAAAATGGCTGTCATTTCAGTTTCATGGTTCTAAAGCACAGCAGGAATATGCTGCTCTTTACAAGATAAGGGCAGGTTAGATAAAGTCCCATTTTAGAGTTCTCTGCCCGCCCCCCTTTCGAAACCAATGCATAAATATACATAAAATGGCTGTCATTTCAGTTTCATGGTTCTAATTTAAGAGAAAAGGAGCAACATTTCACAGGGTTCACCACCTCCCCTATACCCAGCACCCCTCCCTTTCTTTCAGAACCTCTTCAGTTAACAGTGCACCATGAAGGTCTCCCATTTTCACAGAAAAACAAGGAGCCACAATAGTCGGGCTATTTTAAACCATTGCTAGAAAAAGCAGGGTGGGAACCTAAAGAACATTTTTCAGGGGCAAAAAGGTTGTAAAATAATGCATCAAAGGGAGACAGAAGAAGCTCGTAAATCACCAGTTGTCTTCCGGAGCTTTGAGTATGGAGCAAAAAGAGAGCGCGTTCGCTTTGATGGTGGACTTCACTGCCACGCTATTAAGCACATCAGCGTCCTAATTGCATGCACGGTGCCACTTAGCAGCGCTTCCCTGAGAGCGCGCTGCGACCACTTCACCTCATTGATCATGACAGCGACGCTACCAAACCGCATGTGTAAGCCACTGAAATAGTTCTGCACGATGGATTACAAAGAACTCAGCAAAGGCATCCGCAATATTGGAACACCTCCTAATACCTTGAGTTTAAAGAGGACGTTCCTACCGTTTACCGGGAATCAGCTAAAAGTAAACCAAGGACCAGCGCCAAAGCCTCCCTTACCTCCGGCTCCGCGTCTGTTTGCCACGGTACGCAAAACTAACCCTCCTGAATTGGTAAGGTTTGGACGGAACTACCACCGCGCCTGCATCCCCATCTTTGGAGTTGCTCATTAGATTTACTTCTCAATGCCCCCCTCCCCCTTTTTTTTCACTCAGGGGAAGGGCACTCGGACTTATTAAAAGGAAAAATAGGAAGGTGGAAGGGAGAACAGCAAGTGACATAGGTCAGCGCTTTAACATCCGAATCTCATCTTCCCCAGGAATCAATCTGACCCCCTCCCCCTTTTCTTCCTTGCTTTCTTTTCTTCCCCTTGAAGGCTTCCTTCGGCTTCCTACTTGTGGTGGACGGCGGCACTCTTTAGGAAGACCATACACGGAGTGAGTGTGCGAGTGTGTGTCGCGTTGGTTAGCGGGGCGGCGGGGCGGGGGCGGCGG